GCTCCCCATCAGGGAGTAACCCTCCCAAACTACATTGCTCTGCCTCTGCAAGAGAGAGGAACAGGCAGTTTCTCACAACAGCCCCGACAGAAGCTATGTCGTGACCTCCACAAGGAAGACAAGGTCTAGTCTGCCAGCTCTGGAGGGAGCAGGGTGTTATACTGCCTCTCCTAGCCCTCAAGAAATTCCAGAAATTCATCCAAACTGCAGCACTTAATTGACCACGGCCATCAGGGAATCAGCAGCAGTATGAGGCGTTGGGGCATGCTGGTGATTCTCTCTGTTTCTCCTTGACAAAAAGACGGTGTCATCCCAGCAAACATGTGCACCAGCTTGCCGAATCAAATAAACCTCAACACCTCACATTGCAGGACTTTGAAGCAAAACAATCAAGCTGATAGATTTTTGTGCTTTGACATCATAGATGGGAAAAAGTCTTACTAATCCTCCAAAGTTCTTTCCAGTGGATGATTTCATTGAAGTCTCTGGATCAGTCCCAGCTGCTGCAAATAAGCACAGATAGACCAGAATTCAGTAATAACACAGGAAATTTGAGCAGCAGCTTAGATGGTATCTCAGCATCCAGGAGCATATAAGAGATGTTTTTATACAGAGTACCAGGAGCAGCAAGAGGGTATTTGGGGCTAATTGAAAACAGAGGTAGAGTACAATTGGGATAACCTCTAAATCGCACGTTTTGTGGCTTCATCACACACAGAAATGCTGGCTTCGATCTGTCAACCATCAATGGCTTGTTCCAGGTCATGACAACTCCTTTCAAAGCCTCTGGGTTAAGCAATAACACTATTTTAATCGATGGATGTGTTCATTGATGTTCACTGATGTCAGCAGCTGCTACAGCACCTTAAGGACAAAGCAGTTCTTTGAGCCCACCTACTCCTAAAATAGGTAGAGCAACTTCCAACCCTGTTAATGGCATCTCCCCCCCAAAACCAGGTCTGTGGGAAAGTCACATCAGTTCTCAGCATGGGTGGCATTTTGCCCACTTCAAAACATCTTTATCACCATGATCTGATTGCCAAAATTTCTTGCCTAATTTATTTCCTCAGACTTTGGCTACAGATACAATATAGGTGCTCTGATACTGCACTTTAATGACACCTGTATTGATCTGAACCTGCCAGAAGCCATCTTCATCACCCTTTCCATGGCTCATGCTCTGACCACATTGATGGCTCATTTCCCTGCTTTCATCAGAACACAAACATGGTTCAAAATTACTATCAATTGTTCTGCAAATAAATATTAGAGCACCCACACGTGGGACAAGTAACAAACACTGATTAATGGTTTACACAGGGCGGTTGGCTTTAAGTTGCACCCCCTGAGCAAGGAGCCAGGGATGAAGATGTTGATTAGAAACGGTGGTTCAAAGCAGCCTACACCTGTAAAACTGCCTCCAGATATTTGCTGCAGGAGCTCTTTGCTGTGCATCAATCAGGGCCAGGAAGAGTCCTGCTGGGATATCGTGGTGTCCAGGATGTTTGGGAGTAACACAGAACAGTGTTACTGTGTTACTTTAGAAGCAAAACATGGGACTACTTTCTATTTACACTTTGTGTTGCTTTGTGGCATTTAACCCATTTAATCACCAGGCTAATTCCAGCTCAAGTGGTGGGTGTCCTCACTGACAGGGTCAAAGCAGGATGGGGATCCCACACAGGAAGATCTTGGCTGCAAATTGGAAGTGGTACCTGCTCCCATCAGCAATGACTCCAGAACTGTCCTGTAGAGGGATACAGTGTTACCATCTGATGCTAGATTTTATTATTACTTCTTACTCCTCGCAATATGCAGTTGCACTGCACACAGAAGTGATTTTCACATGGAAACAAGAGGTTTGGGGAAATAGCCGGCATTTTCTGCCCATTTACTGCAACACCCTCCCCATCTGAGCCCTTTGTACTGTGATAAATTTAGCCCTCTGACTCCTGTGGTACCTGTTCCCCTGCCCAGCTGTCTGAGGACAGAGTCCCATACCCCGCTTTGTCCCATGAGGAGCAGGTAAAAGTCTCCATCATCTGGGCAATCATTAACTGCCCATGTGAGCCTGGGAGGTGCAAGGAGCTGTCCTGCTCTGCAAACACACTAATGGCTCAAGTGGAGATTAGCAGGAGTTGTCACCAGACACACTGTGCCACAGAGGTGACACAGTATCAGAGACCCAGTATAGCTCTGACCAGCCCAAACAACCCCTGCCTTGGCTTGGCCAGCACCAAGGTCACCACCACAGTGCAACCAGCACGACTTCTTAGGTTGTAATGGGATTGCACGGAGTTTGTGTTGGGGGCTGGGGCACACAGGGTGGGAGGGAAGGTTGGGCTGCCAAACCAGTCCCCACCACCACAAGCAGCACCTCAGCCAACATCTAGCATTAACCCAGCAGAGGAAATGTTTAACCAGCCTCTAGAACCTCCCTGCAGCAGGAGGTAAAACAATGTCTGCCTCAAGTCCAGCCCCGGGTTAGCAGAGCCAAAATTTTGCCTGTAGACCAGAAGCCTGACTGGCAGCAATGCTGCACTCCCAACCCTGTGCTGAGCACAGAGATTTAATAAAGATCCAGGCAGGAAGGACCAGGCAGAGCTGTCTGCTCTGTCACTCACAGTTGCATGGAGGCCCTTCAGTCAGGCAGACAGCGAGCCCATCCCGGCGGCAGCGTTATCTCACTGTCATTGTATTTGCATCAGCATTACACATCCCTGGAAGAGTCACTGTTGGTGTTGGGCACCCATTTGACATGTCTGGGCTGTTTTAATACAGAGGGGATATGTCCACACCATAAAGCTCCTGGTACTACAGTAACTGGCTAAAGAGACGACAGCCAGCAGCCAAAATCACTAGCACAGTAACTTAGCAGCTAAAAGTCAATCTAATGTACAGCCCCAGTAACAAGGGCCCTGCTGTGGTCTTTTGTCTTCCCAGCACTCATTAGAAACATGGGAGCAGTTGGTGACTGATGCAACTCCTTGTCTGCAGGAGCCACTCCAAATAAATATCACCCAGCAATCAACCACCCTCACACAGTAACCTTCAGGGAGCTACAGGGGCAATACAAAGGCTTTTTGTTAATCCCAAAGACACAGGAGCACAGGGTGAGATTACTAACTAATTCAGATAGTAAAGATAATTGTTCAGCAAGGAGCTCCCAGAAAAAGAGCTTTGCCATGAAAAGTCCTTTGGTTTAGGATAGAAGGTCCTAAACACCCCACAACTCACTTTCCTGCAGAGAGGAGCCCAGTGTGCAACTCATCAGGCACCAGGGCAGATCCAACAGAAGTATATCCAGAAAATTTAGCTGGCCTTTTTCTGATTTGTTTTACTCAGTCAAAAGCAGGTGTTGATGGTTTCCATTCCCACATCCACCAGCAATAACCACTCTTACCTCAGAGCTCAAAGTGGGTTTAAATTGATGCTCTTTTCTCCCTTTGACACATCTCCAGCAAATTCACAGAGCCAAAGCCTGTTCAAAGGTGATCCAAGGGGAGTAGTACAGATGTGTATAGATTTCTTTTTCCATTCAAGGTACCAAATGGTATTTTTGGAGTGTGCAATGAGCAATCAGGGCCATGGGGCAACTGGTGACATGAGGGGAGTCTGCTTGGCCACAAAAAGCTTTTGAGGCACACATGGGCTGTGAGGCAGGTTGCAGTTTGAGCAGAAAAACTGCACAACCTTCCCACTTAAAAGCCTCTCCTTCACCACAGGTTTGCTTTAGAGGCAAAAGCTGCATGGGGTCTGCCAAACCCTGCCCTCATTTATCGCATGGCTGGACAGGTCTGGTTGATTGTGCTCACACAAGCACAGGGACACACACCACACACAGCAGAATGTGGACCAGCCTGCCTCTTGTCTCCTGCATCTGATGCCCCATGTCAATTAAATTTAACAGCTCCTGGTCAGGAGGTTAAAAAGAATAATAATTTTTTTAGTCTCTAGTAGCAAAGGACCAGCAACGCCTCCTATGTTTCATCTCCTGTAATACAGCAATATCTGTACAGTTTTTTCCCACTCCTCTCTTGTCTTTTCTTCCAGAAAGAATATTCCCTTCAGTCCAAGAGTCCAAGTGGGAGCAAGAAGCCAGGGAGTGATGGTTCAGGTGAGTGCTGGCAGCCTGTGCTGCCCCACACAGAGCTTTGGAGGTGAACTGGGAGGGACTGGGGCTTCTGCTCACACTTGGTTCTGCTGAGACCTTTGCTGAGAAACATGGCTGGAACAGGGGAAAATACTGGGACACCGAGAGGAGGAAATTGTGGAGATGTAAAAATAAGTGAAAGAGCACCCCTGTAGTCCATTGGCAGCCTGGCCTCTTTCTCCAGTCTTTCATGGGGCCAGGAGTGTCTGGCCAGGACGTGGTTGAGACAGACCATGGATGCCGCAGTGTGTGAAGGTGCCTGTCCACCTCAGCAGCGCCCCCCCAGCTATCCTTATGCCTTCCTCTGGCTGTGCTCCATCCTGACCCTCCTGGGACTGGGACATTGGGCATCTGCAGGCTGGCACTGGGCAACCTGGGCAGAAGTGGACCACAGCATCCACCTAAGAGCCAAAAGGAGCTGCTGGGGTGGTTGCTTCTCCTCCCTCAGTTTTGTAGCCTCTGGTTTCCCAGGCTGTGGCAATTCACAGCCAACATGGTACCTCCAGCCACAGCAAGGATGGGAACAAGAAGCCCAATTCAAGCAAGGGCTGCATCTCAGCTGGAGGAGACCTGGGGCAGCGATGAAGTGGCATCACACAGCTCTGATGCCACCAGGATACCCATGACCCCATGCAGGGGCTGCTTCTCCCTCTTGCAGCCCCTACCCCTGGGGTGCGGCAGCTGCTCCCCTGGGCCGTGCAGCAGTTGGTTGATGACAGGGTGTTGCAACATGCCAGGGAATAATCACGATAACTCGAGCGGTTGCCCTGGTGCCGGCTTGGCTGTTGCAGTGGTTGCTAAACAGAGTGGGCGTGCGGCTTCCTCTGGGGCGATCTGATTTCTCCAGGAGAGTGGTTAAGGCACGTTGAGGAGAAATCATCCTCCGTGGAGCAGGGACACGACCTCTCCACCAGCAGCAGCGGCTGTGCCGAGCGGGCAGCTCGGGTGCCTGGGCACACACAGAGCTGTTTGCTTTGGGGAGAAAGAGTGATTCGTTTGTTCATCCGTCCTGGGAAAACATCATCTGGCAACAAAGAGCAAAGGGAACAAGTTTGCAGAGGGACCTCTGGGACCAGCACTGAGGAGTGAGCAAGGCCACCGGCTGCTGCCAGCTGAGCTCCAGCCCTCAGTGGGGTCCTTGCGAGGTGGCAAGAGCAGCGAGGAGGGAGCATCGGTGCAGCAGCCACCTCCACGTGACCTCCCGCCCAGGCTCCCACTGCAGAGACCTGGCAGTAGCCAGACAGCTTCTTCGGACCCAGCCAAAAGTCACAAGTGCAGCCAGGCAGCAGCGGCAGCCTCAGCCCCCACAGCCCCATGTCGTGGGGTGCGGGGCAGCACCTGCCCCCTGGGCTTCCCAGGGCCACGCTGAGGAAATCAGGTAAGCTCAGGGCCCCCCGAACTGCCCCGGGGGATCCCCACTTCTCTGCTTCTCCCTCCTATGGGATGGGCTGCTGAGCCCCATGGGATTGCTCTGCACTGCATACATGTTTATGCATAGGTGACTTGGGACCCTGTTTTAATTTTATTTGACATATCATGTTACTTTAATACTTCAGTAGCTGTTTGAGAAGCTGCACCTTTTGCTTCTGCCTTTCCAAACATATCCTGCAAGAAGTTCCCTTTGTAAACCCATGCTGCGATTCAAACCTTCTTCTTGGAGAGGCATTGGGCTGGACAGGGGGCTACTACAATGCCTGCAAATCAACGTGGGAGGATTTTCTCCGTATTTAACAGAATACCTTTGAACTACCTTAAAGTATTCATTACTGATTGGTGTGCATGCCTGTCATAGGCAGGCAAATGCACAGAGCAAATATTTGATGAGAGATTAAAAGTAAGTTTATGATTGTCAAGAAGGACTGCTGAGCATCTGCCACTGCCTAACAAAACTGAACAAGTGCTCCACATGCCGCTTGTAAAAGGCATGGGATGTCTTGGTGATTGCTAACAGAGTGAGATCTGAGCCTTTCTATCTTTGCTTATCACAGTCCAAGGTAATTAAATGAAATGATTAACCAGCCTGACAGCAAAGGGGCACTTGCTGCTACCTGACAGCACAAGCATTTCCAGCCAGTAACTTCTACACCCCAAAGAGCCCAGCAAGCCTCAAACGTGATGAGATTTCTCTCTTCCAAATACACGTGCATGAGTGCAAAGCTCAGTGACCATGATGACATCTACAGTTCTTTACCTTTGAGGTGACTGCAGGTGGTGACACATGGGCAGCTCGGGCTGAGCCCAGCACCCACTCTGTGCCCTCTGGTGCTGGTGTAACTGGGGGACTCTGGCCCTGGGGTCTGCGGTGCTGGCACGGGACTCTGCAAGGGTAAGCAGGACTTGGAGCACTGGGGTTGAACTGGGGAGACTGGCTAAAATAGTGGGAGAACACTGGCTATACTGGTGGGAAGCTCAGACTGTACTGGTGAACATGGGCTGTACTGGTGAGAGACCTCATCCCCAGCATGCACTCAGAAGAGAGGCAGAGGTAGGAACAGTGTTGACATGTGGCAGCGGTGCTGGGAGCTGCAGGGATGTGTTCCCCCAGCCCTGTTTTACATTTCCATTAGGGTTTTCTCTCTCTTTCTGACCCCGTGACCTCGTGGGGTTTATTCCTGACCGTCAGGGCTGAGTGAAGGTGAGGGGACCCGGGCTGTGCGCGCCTGCTGCCCCGAGGCAGCCACCTGATAGCTGGGAACTGCTTCCCACGGCAGCCACATCGAGTTACACTCACCCTATTGCATTATAAATACCAGAATTAGCCTTGCTTAATTATTTAAAACTATAGATTAAAAGCAGACAAAGGCTCTTTGCCTCCTTCCCAGAGCACGCGTATCATTTATCGGTGATACGGTCGCCTGGTGACAAGCAGGGGGGAGTGTGCCAGGTCCATCGGTATGAGGTGCTCCTGAGCTGCCGGCACGGCAGGAGCAGAGGAAAATCACAGTGAGGATGGGAGCTGGTGCCATCTCACCCAGGGAGGGTAGTGGTTAGCATCTGTCAATCTTTAGCCTCACATTATTATTATTATTATTATTATCATCATAACCACTATTAACCTCATCATCATCATCCATCACCAGGGCAGTAAGCCACAGCAGTCATTAAGCTAATGTGAATTACAGGTATTTTGTTCTGGGATCGGCTGTGTAACAGCAGCACATGGATTAGCTGGGGTGATAGGGCATATTTTGTGGGCTCAGCTGCAGCGACTCACCCACCAAAGGGTGTCCAGGCACTGTGAGCCTCCCTATTGTGCAGCACCCACATCTGACTCACCCAAGCTGGCACCTGGGTGCCTCACTATGCCCTGAACCCACTGACCACGCAGATAAACACCTGAAAGATGCTTCCAACACACAAAACTTTGGGGCTTTCAGAGACCAACATGCAATTCTTTCCCTGCCCCACGTTGCCAACCCAGCTATTCTGTGTTTCTAAAATACAATTAACTAACACTAGAAAAGTTATGCAAATCAGAAAATGTCATCAATTGAAGAATCCAAAACAAAAGACAAACTTTCAGCTTCATTCTTTGTAGGACTTAACATACAGCATGACCTTGTCTGACATTACACTCTCACAGGAAAAGGTGTAGAGCCAAACTCTGGCTCCAGACATTGGAAATGCATTGACAGACACATTGACATACCCTAAAGTGAAAAAAAAGTGAACGTCTGGTTAACAGGTAGAGGTGTGCCAGTGCTTAAAAGTAACAGAGGCCAGTTTAAAGATCCCACACACCTCCACCTGCACATGCAAACCATTGCAAGGAGTGAGGACAGGCCCCATTCCTCTCAGCCTTCCCAAGAGGGCTGTGAGGGATGGCACCCTCACTGCAGGGAAAGGAAGGCTCCTCAGGGAGCCGATGCTATCAGGGTCTATAGCCCAGAAAAGGGAAGGTTTCCTCCCCATGAACTGCAGTTACAAGTTTGTTAACTTTTAAATGTGTCAGAAACTCACGTTATTTCTCAGGCTGCTTGTGTAAATAGCTTTAAACTCGCTCTGCTGACCCGTCCTGATGTGTTGGTTTTGCAGCCACCTGACTTGCAGGACATGTATGACCAGCTGCTTTCAGCAGTGCTTCATTAATCTCTTGGTCCTTTAAAAAAGACACATTCATTAATAAATCTCGGGAATCCAGAAAACCAGAAATTCTTCCCTGTAACCACAGTTTTAAGTGATCATTTCTGCCCACAAAGCAGTCTCTTGGGTCACTGGTTTTACAAACCCAGATTCACAGCTCTGACCCTGGATGTCCCTGAGGTTTTTGCCCAGTCTCATTCCTTCTACCAAGTAAAAGGGTCTCCCAGAATTACAGATGGCAATGTCCTCTGAGTATGGATCCCATTCCCAAAAAATGCCTTCTGACTGTTTTTATGGGGGTGGCATTTCACAGAAGCCCATTCTCTGCCCAGAAAGGGATGCCCATACAGTATTTTTGACAAGAGCAGTTTGGTCATCATCTGGCCCTACCGGCAAATCTCTCCTAAGATGCTCTAACTGGAAAATCAGTTCTCAAATGACACAGACAGCAGAAATAAAACACTGTGAGCTACGTTTGCTTTCTAGATTTCAGCCAAAGCTGAACACTGACCTATGCTGCAAAAGGCAGCATTGAGAGCTTTGCAGGTTAAGGATGCAGGTGGCATGGACAAGTGTGGAGGGATGTGCAGGCCATGTCACAGGAGGCAGGATGTCAAGGAGAGCTTGGCAAAACAAAAGTCAGGGAGAGAAGGCATTTCACATGAAAACCTGCAAAAAGCAGCTGGTGTCCTGCTGTACCATCCATTCTTCTACACAAGTGCAAGCAAAGAGGTGCTGGGCAGGAGCCCAGACCTGCACCCTACAGCTTCCTAAACCCAACATCTATGGATTAATTTTGTTTCCAGCCTCTGAAGGTTTTCCCCTTGTAAAGAACAGCTGTAGCCATGTAGACAGCCGTAAGCAGAGTTGCACCCCTCAGGTTACCTGCCCTTTCCAGGACTGTTAATCCTCTTAACATTCCTGGGGATTATTTCCATTCCAACAGGACAGTAGAGCAGGCTGCCAGAGGCAGCGCAAGGAGCAGCACACAGTTCTGATGCAGAGGGCAACCCACCACTGAGAGACAAGTTGCTTAATCCTAAATAAATGCTCTGTGAAGGGCATCTCCTCCAAGGGAGGGAAAACCAAAAAGCAGCATCTGCAAAGGGAAGTGTAGCTCAGCTCTGGCCAGGCCAAACCCTGTGCATGAGCCAGCCCTCCACTTCTCCTCCTCCTCCTCTTCCTCCTCCTTTCCAGGAGCAGGCTAAAACCTTTCTCCTTGCCCTGGGCCGCACAAAAGTCACTCAGCACCCCAAGCAACATATCTCGTGTTATGCCCCTAGTAGAGTCTATTTAATATATATTTGCAAAATTCAAAGGCATTTAATGTTGCACCAGAGCTGCCTGCTATCCTGTTCCTCAAAAAGATTAGGGCTGAGCATAATCACAAGTGAAAACAATTTGCCCCGGGTTTCAGACTGATGATTTTAGTGCAACTCTCTCAGGAATTGGGGGATTTATAAGCATTTCCAGGCAGTCTGAGCAGGAATTTGGGCTTTGCTTTAGGTCAGAACAGACCAAGATATTAAAATGTTGGTTTTGTCCTCCAGCCAGTCCCACACCCTGGGGCAGGAAGGTGGCTGGTCTCTGGGCCACATCAAAGATGCTGAAAATTCCCTATAGGGTCTCCTAGAAAACTAATCAAGGTTGGGAGCTCATTTCACAAATACAGTTGAGAGAGGACATAACTCCACATGTGAAGCCTAACTTTCTGCCAGGGTCCCTGGCATCCTCATCCTGCCAGTCTTGCTTTTTACTAACAGAAAAGAAACTGGAAACACACCTTCTTTAGAAAGCCTCAGGCTTCCAGAAATGAGGGAAGGGAAAATATCTAAAAGTAAGCAAAAGGCTGAATGTGTTGAAGAAAACAGAGTTACTTTTTACAAGCAACACTCCAAAGCAGACCTATTTAAAAGGTCACACTGTCTTTCTGACTACAGCAGAAGATATTAACATTCACATGTATTTTTTTGGTTATATCTTGCCAAGAACAATATAAAAATGTCCAACATCTTTTGCTGATTTATGATGGTGGCCAGGCAGGTGCCAAAGCAGAGCCTTGTTCATTGATCTACATCTGAATCATGCAAAAAGAGACACCCTGCTGTAAATCCACTGCAGAGACCTGGCTTGATTTACACCTCCAGCACCATAAATAATGACAAAAAGCAGCATGATAGCAGTCTGTCTCCCCTTACATGGACAAGAATTACATCAGGTCTTGAAGATGATAGATCTACTCCCTGAGAAACGTTTTGCACTGGGTCCCTATTTGCCAACCTGCAGGAAAAAGGATGCCCTGCCCTTACTCCCAGCATAACCCCTAGCTGTGTTTCGGGTACACCAATATCTTTATATTCTCATTTTTCTTTTTCTGCTCAACGCAAAGACTTTCCTTGAATTGTTCCAGATTGAGGGCTTCTGAAGGTTTAAAGTGCTATTCTTGTAGTGAGGTTCGAGGCTCCTTCCAGTCCCAGTCAGGACTTTGACTTTGTCCCCAGGGCAGCAGTACAGACACCCACTGGAAGCCAAACCTCAAGGTAGGTGTCTGCACACTCCTAGGCACATCTAGCAAAATGAAAACCAAGCACAGAGCTACCTGCTGTGTCCTGGCCCCCGCAGTATTGTTCAGGCAAATTGCACTCCTGGTGAGGACTTTTGCACGCTGGTTTAACAGTGCCTGGCCAGAAGTGCTTCCAGTCCATTTCAGTTCCTCCCACTCCTCTCTTCCTAGTTTTTTTCTTAAGTTGTACTAGTTTCAGGGAAAAGTTCCCCATCTGCCTTCAATAAATAGACTGATAAATTGCTGCTTCTTTGCAAGCCTCGGCCACGCAACATTAGACTGCTGCAGCCTGAAAATAACCCCGTTAGCCCCTTCAAAACCTCCAGAGTGCTCCCCCAAAATGCTGCATAAGCAGAGGATCCCTCAAGATGGAAGGGGGGCCCTTCTCTGATCATCCTGGGTGTCTGAGGAAAACATCACAAGACCAGACTGAAGGACTGGATGACACTGTGCCATGGGGTTGTACACCGCTGAGTGTTAGACCTATGTGGATATGGGGACAGCCTACCTCAAGTGAATCACTCAGGATCTGGATCTTGGGGAAGGGGAGAAGGGACTCCCACTCTTGAGTTGCAAAAGGAAACCCAAACTCCATTCATGGAGGCAGGGGGAAAACAGTACTTTATAAGTAAAAGTACTGCCCCAGTGCCCCAAGAGCTGGCATAGCTCAGCAACAGGACATGAGAGCTTCTCAGTCCAGAAACCAATACCAAAGTCACTTGAGTTTCAGCCATTTACAGCATCCAGGCTGGTCCTTCAAGCTTGGCTGGCTGTGTAATCCTTCCACGCTTGCTGCTTGCTGCATCATCCCCTAGCAAAGCACAACAGGTGGATTTAAGATGGACAAATCCAAGATGGATATGCCCCAGCCCTTCTCCTGACATGTGTCAGGATTTGGTACTCAGCACACAAGCCAGTGTGGGCATCTGTGTCACTGGAGGCAGCTCTGGACTAAACGACAGCACAGGAACAGCCAGAAAGGGCAGTGGGATGATACAGTGGCATTGAGGTTAGTCCATTAGTATAGCTGTCCAAAAACAGTGTTTCCATTAAAAACACCTGGCATTTTATTTAAGTTACTCCGTGGAGAGACTTTTTGTTTGAAGAATGAAGACATAGCTTTGCCATTTGAAATAGGAGCTCAACCGTTTCATTCACGCCAAAACAAACCTGTGCTTTTGTACCTTCCTTCCTTGTCTTTTGATTGCCTCTTCTGTGAAAAAAGAAAGAGAAAAAAGGGGAGAAGTACAAGAAAAAAAACAAAGCAATTTTATCCCAGTGAAAATCTGATATGTTTTTCTCATTGCTCAAAACCTGGCTTTCATCTAACAAGAATTAGCCATGAAATTGTGCTTCCTTAACCCTTGGCTGTTCTTCAGTCTGTGCATTTCTCTGGAAGGCAACGCTGAGCCCCCAGTTTCAGCCTGAGGAGTCCAGCCCTGTAGGGGTTTCAGTCAGCCTGGCACTTGCCACCAAACATCAAGTCATGCCACCTTCCCTTCTGCCAGCAGTGATGTGTGACCCTAGAGGAAAATAATTTGATACAAAAAAATCACTGATTCCAGCTTCCAGGGGCACTTTAAATATGTACCGAACTATTCACCCCAATTACACTCCTGTAATGAGCTCTGATTTGTTTTCTTTTGTTCCCAAAGCAGTAGGGCACTGGTCACAATGAGAAGCTGTTTGATATTGAATCATTTCTTCAGCAGTATTATTCCTTACACAATCCCATTTGATTGCAATCCACTTCACATTTAATAAGTACTTAACTGACTATGAAAGAATGACCTAGTCTGCTTTCTCTTGCCTTTTTTTATTGATTTCTCTTTTAAAAAGGGTTTATTCCTTTTATATACGAGACTGAAATAAGAGAAAGAGGCAGCATTACTGAACAACTGTTTTCCTTGCAGCTCCATCAACCCATATAACTTCATCCTAGGCCCCAAAAAATACTTTAATAATGAGACATTTCAAGACCTAAAGCTGCCTACACCCTTTTCCTGGGACTTTTTGTTCCTACTGGTAAACTTCCAAATTGTTCAAGTGAATAGCCAGGAATAAATTGCTCTTTCTGAGCCCCTGATTAGACCGTACATTGAATAATTGGAGGCAGATCTACTGTGCTCTGCATTTAAAGACACAGCCCACCACATGCAGTTTGTCTTATAACTTGTGCTTTGCACTCACTTTGTATAGGGGTTTTTGTAAAGAGAAAATGCAAAGCACTTGGAAAACACCAACAGTGAGCATGTCCTGCGGTTTGCCTGAAATCCAAGCTGCCATCCCTTCCAAAACAGGAGGCTCTTGTTCTTACATCCAACATACAAATTATTACAGCATGATCCCAGACTGCCTGGGCGAATGGTGCTTTTCTTGGCACGGGGCTCGATCCTGGTCAGCAGGATATCAGCAAAATCTTTCCTTGTCAAGAGGTTTCAGATGCAGCAGCACTTCCTCAAGCCAGTGTTTCAGAAACCCTTCAAATCCCACAGCATCCTCTTGTGTCAAGGGACGGACAGACACAGCCAGGACACCCAAAGCAGCAGCTCAGCACAGCCCACATCCATGGCTGCTTCCTGTTTTAGTCAGACCTATCTTTCATTAATTAATCCTTGGCACTAAATGCTGCAACCACTGAAGCGAGTGGCTGGCAAGTAATTTTAGTGATCTAATTAATATGTGTCTTATCAACAACACAAAGGGAACATTTTTTAAAACCTCTAAAAAACCTGCACCAGCACACGAAGGCACGTGCACTCAGACACTGACACGGTGTCAAGCAGCTGGGACAGGCACCAGCTCTTCTCCTCTGTCTTGCCCAGGGGAGGAGAGCTCCAGTGGGTTCCCACACCAAGCAGGGTGAGACTCCTCATGCAAACACCTCTCTATTCTTCCAGCATCGATGTACACTGAAATACAACGGGAGAGACCAGATGGTGGGAATATCCTGACTCACCCAGATTACATAGATGGAAACCCAGACCTCATCAAACCTAAAAAGCTCCTAAATCCTGTAAAAGCCTCGAAAAGCCATCAAGAGCTGCACAGAGAGCTGCTGATGAACCACAAAAGGTAAGACGAGGTAACAGTCCACCACTGGAACAATCCAAGAGGTGCTGAGCCATCGGAGCTCAGGAGCTGAGGCACAGGTGCACAGAGCACGATAAATCCCTTCACTTGTAAACATAAAACTTGCCACAGACCCTTCTTCTTTTCTCTGATGTGACAGTTTCTTTTAAAACAAAAGCAGAACAGAAAGCCCCTGCTCTGCCATGCTGAAGTATCAGCTGGCACTTTTCAGAGCCACAGGCACTGGAAGATGCAAGGCATCCCTAGAGCCCCACTCTTGGTGTTACATGAAGGTTTTCTGGTTATTCTGTCTCCACCACTGACTTGCAAAGTCCCCAGCAATGTACATCACTCCTGTGTGCTTGAAGGTCAACCCAGAGGCAGGAAGAAGTGCAGGCTGGAATGAGCCATTGAAAGCTAGGGGAGCACTGGGGTGAGATCATCTGTATAAGGAGAAGGCTAATCACTGATTCCCTAAATAACAAGTGGGTAAAAACAGGCTAGAATTCATATTCCTGACTTCCTACCTCACCACTGCAACTTAACTTTTTGGAGGTGCAGATACAACATCGGGAAAATCACACCAAGGACTGAGAACCTAAGACCATATCATTCCTTTACAGCAACTGTCTGAACATCAGTGCAATAAAATCATATTCAGCTCAGAGGCTTTTAAGCACAGCAAGAAATCTGCTGGCTTTATATTGACATTTTTCGAATGCCCTGAAATACCCTGACACAAGAGCTCTTTGGCCGCCTAATTAAAAGGAGCACAGCCTCTGTTCTGAAGGACTGCAGTCATCTCGAGAACCAGACACGTATATTAATTCAGGGAACAATCAAGCCTGCCAGTGGGGTGCATTAATCAATACTGGCACTTGCTGGGCTTGAGTTTGATTTGATTTTCCCAGAATCAGAAGAATTACAGGGACCATTCTCTGGCATCAAGGCAGAGGTAACTATACCAGCCAGATATTTTTAAAACTCTCTGGCTTGAGAGTGACCATCTCCTCCCTAGTGATACTGCTCAGTTTAAAGGGTCACCCACCAGCATTGGCTTTGATCTCAAAGAACATTGATCCAGTCTACCCATGATGGAACAAAGAAACAGGAAAGCCCTGCAACAGAAGCTGCAGAGGTGAATGGCAGCAGATGGGGTGCAGATCCCATGGCATCAGACTGAGCTGGACTTCACACTGGCAAACACAAAGTACATCATCTCTCTTTATTATTCCAATTCTGTGCCTGCCACTGTTACATCCACATGTGCCATCAGGTACTGGCAGGAGGCAGCTCCACCGCAGCCATCCTGCACACCCTGACCCCCCTCATGCCTCAGTTTAAAACTGGTTTGGATTTGACCTCCCAGCTATATTTTAGCAAGTATGTGAAACAAACCCTACTGGAAACAATAACTCATCGTTGCTGGTTTCCTGTCACTCTCAAATCCACCAGTTTTGCTTCCTGCTACATGTTACTGTAGAGGGAGAGAGGGGAGAAGGAGAGAGAGAAGGATCTATGACTTGCTCCTGTTTCTGCTTTGGTTGTTTTTTTCCCCTCAAGCAGCAGGGAGAAGCAACTCAAATCAGCAGCTTGTGCAACAAAACCCTTATCTTAGTCAACACCTCTGGGCACTAACAACACTGGCTGATTAAATCAAAGAATAGTAACAAATCCACAGGCATGGTGCGTCTCCAGCAAGCCAAGGCAGGTTTGCCTTCTCTCAAGCCTTGGGAAAAGCAATTTTGCAGCATCCAAGTTGTTCCTGCCTTGAAAAACCATCACAAAAGCTCTGGGGCCAAGGCTAGGATTGCCTTCACTGATGTTGCTGTGAAGTTTGTCCTGTCATAAAGCAAAAGAAATTACAGTCGGAAATATTATTAAACCTGGCACTGAAAGGATGCAAGCACTGGTCCTCAGCCACATTGTGACAGAACAGAAGTTTGGGTTGCTGCATCTGGAGAGTGTTTCTCTCTCCTGCCTGCCAGTTCAGTTTCTTGTGCTGTGAGGTACCACCTCAGTACCTGCCACCCTGCCCAGAAATCCTCAGCCCACAAGGTTTGATGTCTCTGCTTTCAAACAACCTTAGCCAAAACCAACCAGCCTTTGGTGAACAGAGACACCCCCCCCCCCCCCCCCCCCCCCCCCAGCCCCAGCCCCCCCCCCCCCCCCCCCCCCCCCCCCCGATACTGAGAAGGAATTTTGCATTAATAGCACTCCCCAACCTGCCATGCCCTGGGCAAGCCCTTAGCACAGGTATGGGGAGGTCCCTCCTCGGCTCAAAACAGACCTTCACCCACAGGAACACCAAACACCATCCACAATTACTCACATGCTTCCAGTGGGGAAGAAGCCAGTGGGAAGGTGGTCAGGGTCAGCTGCAGGAGGTAAATCTGAGTGTCTAAATTCAGCCATGGCAATATCCAAAGTGTGAGGTTTCTGAAATTCGGTCAGAGAATTTCTACCATCTCTTTACCACGTATCTATGCCCTGCCTGCATGGCCTTGCTATGTCTCCTTTTCCATGATTCCACCCCTCACAGGACAGGGATTCACCTGAGATGCTTCAGGCAACAAAGGGGAGCCAGGCACCTGCACCATCACCAAACCCTCCAGCTTCCAGGAGAAAAGGACATTTAATTTTGGCCTCTTGATCCAAACTATCCATGTCAACGGGGGCATTGCCAGCCCTCAGCTCCGAAGCAAGGTTTCAGATGAAGCAAAGCTTCAGACGGGATGCGCGGGAAGGAAAGGAGCTGCCAGGACAATTACTGCAGACCAATGACTACCCCTGCTGGTGGGAAAAAAATCGTCATTATTTCAAACGTCTTCAACGCAGCTGAATCCGTACCTGACCACCACGAAAACCAGCAACAGCGGGAGCCAATGGAAGGTCCCATTTCCACATCTGACACAGAAAGCTGTAGTGTCCCCGTGCAATGGGATCCACAGAACGTCCAGCACCGCACACGCCATACAGGGACAGCAAACTGTGCCCGCCCCAGACAGGCAGCCCAAGGCACCATCCCTGAAGTGTTTTAACACCCCCAAACCTTATTGATGGATCTGTGGACCAGGGCTGGTTTGTGGACCAGGTCTCCCATGTTTCCATTTAGGAATGAGAACAGTTTTGGGGTTGCCAGGCTGGCAATTTGGTCACTCCCCAGGGTGTAGGCACTCTGACCCTGATTTATCTGTGTTTTATCCACAGAGGTTTGGGCGTGGACAGCAAGCCAGAGCTGCAGCGGGTGCTTGAACACCGACGGCGAGATCTGCTCATCAAACAGAAGAAGGAAGAGGAAGAGGCAAAGAAATTGCAGTCTCCTTTTGAAAAAGAGCTATTAAAGAGGCAACAGAGGCTGGATCAGGTAGAACTGAGCTTTCAGCCATCCCTGAGTTATCCTAACCATCCAACACAAGGCACTGGGGAGATGGGTTGGCTGAGGCTCAACTCAAAGTATAGTGTTGCTACCCCTCCATAAAACCAGGAGCTACAGTACATCCTTCACTGCTGCCCCAAGTGGGGTCCACCACATTTGTACCACCCCACCCAGAACCCCTGTCACACACCACTAGCCCTGGATCTCCTCTGGGTCCCAGACACAGAGTCCCTGGGGTGTGTTTTCCAGTTTGAAGCATCCTAAATAGCATGGAAGCCACTGCAACATCCACTAAAGGGGTGCTCAGAACCCTGAGGTGTAGTGTGAGAGGCTGCTTTTGGGTGCAGTTCCTGACATGTACCCTGGCCAAAAATATGCCTGGGGAAGGCAATATTCACTGTGCACTTGTCAGCAGCACAGCCAGGCCCTAGGTGCTCCATGCCTGCCCTCTCACCCAAAACAGTGCAATCAGGGAGCATACTCATTACCACTGAAAGTAAAGTCACTGTCCTGCTTGCCAGTATTTGCACTGCAAATGGATGAAACCAGTTTATTTAATTAACAACACAATAATAATGTCAGTCAAGTCGTGATCACTTGAAAACCAAAGTCTGGCACTCTCAGAGAAGAACCAGGAATATGAAACAAGGTGGTTTAGGGGCAGATCCATAAAGACTTAGCACATAAAAGTGAGGCAGTACAATGATTTACTCTGCCTTAGACAGTAACAACTGCTGAGAGCTTTTCCCAGGCTCACAGGCCTCCTTTGCTGGGAAGGATTAAAACCTCCTCCTCCCTCCCCCATGCCAGGTCTGAAGTGAACCCCTCCCCTGCTTTTGTGATGGAGATGTTCCTCCCTAGAGGAAAAAGAAAAGAAATTAATGTTTCAGTAGGACACAAAAAGAGACTAAGGGTGAATATAGGTCTGCTGTGATGATTTGGAAAAAGAGAGCCCCAACATGTGCACTACACACTCATTCAACTTTGGGCAATAATAACTGAACCCATCAATAATGAAGCCCTCTGTTTTAATGCACCTGATGCCCTTTTGTCCTTTCATATGCATAGTGACTCTTCTTTCTTACAGCTGGAGAAAGAGCGGGAGAAGCAGGAAGACCATGCACCAGAATTCATTAAAGTCAAGGAAAATCTGAGAAGAACCTCAACAGTGACAGGGGATGAGAAAGCAGCATAGCTTCTGCCAAAACTCAGCAGGGATCCTACCAAGGCCAGTGCTAACACACACCCGCTGACATCTCTGTACATGGTGCACGTTCACAGCCACATTGACGGGGCTACTTACGGTTATTAACACTTGCTCCAGTAGAAGGCACAGAAAAGGTTTTCCCAGCCCAGGAGGGAATCACTGTGGAAAAAGTGCAGTATTCACTGAAGAAGTACTCACACAAGTGGATGCAGAGATAATGATGTTCTTTCTCCCCCCCAGACCATGGTGCACTCTAACCACCGGCTAACTCTTGGTTAACTCTAGGGACACAGCGAATATTTAAGCCAGGGAAGTCTGTGGAGGCTTGGGGGACCCCTGCTTCTTCCTGGAGGCAGGCTTGCCATGCACAAGGTGACAAGAGGGCAGCTGCAGCTGCGGAGAACCTCCTGGAAACCTGGCATAGTAACTAAAAGGGACAACTTGTATATTACTGAATACAACCCAGATGACCGTAATGGCTTTCCCAAGGGTCACTGGTATTGCACCAGTGTGTGAGTCAAGCCTAGCTGAGGCTGTGTGTCCCAGCAGCACACCTGTGCTATTAGAAAAACCAGCACCTGTGTGCTCATACCAGTGCAGCACAGGCAGGTGCAACTGTTTTTCACAAGCACCTTTAAACTGCATTTCAACCCTGTTGGAAAGTGGCTATTTAGGCAGTTCCACGCTCAGGCAGAAAATACATTGGACTGTTCCATCAACACCCCAAGTGGGAGGCAAATGCTCTGTGCTGAAAGCAAAGGCTGGGTGTTTCCAGCATGGCTGTCCATGGAAGCATGCAGTGACCAGGCAGAAGATCCCTGAGGATGTAGCAGACAGACAAACTGCTTCATGCCCCTGGACTACTGAGCTTCAGCCCCTCACCCAGCAGCCAGATATGTGCTACCATAGGGACCTATAGAAAGAGTCCTGTGATGGAGAAGGGGTGATGTGGTGATGTCACACCAGTGTCAGGCTGCCCTGTTAACCACCCTGCTTGCAGTTGGTATCTGTAGACAACATGGGATACAGGGGAACATAGGTCCTGACGCAAAACTATTTGTCAGTGCTTCTAATCCCCTTTTCCAGAGGTCAGAGCTGCCCCATTACAGTTGCCACCTTGCAAAGCTGAAACTCTTCTTGTTCCTGGTGTAGCCAAGCTGAGGTGGATGGTGCATTTGCACCATGTATGGACAGAGCCTGCCACACTTATGGTGGGTACCCCTCATGCCCTGGGGTATCCACACCCAGAGCTAAAATTGTGCTTTCAGGAATATCTCATCTTCTTGCTTCTCACATCAGCCCTGATACAAAGTCTGAACACCATAACTCACTGACTGCCTTTGGACACTGGCCCTTGAATGGCCTCAGTGGATCTCGTCAGCTGGGAAGGTAATACCTGGTTAAACAACATCTACTATCCACGTCTTCAGTGGATCCATACACAAATTAAGGGAAACTAGGCATTTATCACATATTTATCAAAAAGTTGCTAATCCATTCCCTAGTCTCCCTTATCCAGTGGGGTATTTCATTTCAGAGAGCTGTTGCTCGACTTGACAGCTTGGGTAAGACATCTGAGCCACATCACATGTCAAGAGCAGTGATACAGGTATGGAGTTTCTGTGACAGATTGGACTATAAAAGCCCTTAACTCAGCTTCAGTCCTTGAACACCCCATGTCAAGGCACTGTCTCTGTTGTAGTTTTTAAGCCCCTTGCTCATATGCTTATTCTAAACATGATTTTGTTTCAGAAATCCGGTGCATATTGTCACTATGGCTCACGCAAGACCTGAAAGGCTTTATTACGTTCTTTCCAACTGTGAAGCTTTTCATATAGGTGATGATTAAAACCATAAGGAATAAGCAGCATCAACCATTTTTTCAGGGGGGAAAAAAAGAAGTCAAATTTCTCTGAGGATAAAAAGGTGTTGCTAAGGATGCCTGTACATAGCTGTAAAGAATGCTGCATGATACTCCATAGAGAACATCAGCATAAGTAGCAAGTCAGAATTACTGTGCTGGAGTTTTGTGAGGAGTTATGGCACAGATTAAGTAACCTTGATCAAAGAGCTCAAAAAAATTCAGCAAGTTAATTTGTAATTTTGCCACAGATGGAAATGCACTCCAGGAGAGGCAATCTGTCACTCCATATGCACCAGTGAAATCAGTGTTATCAGCTCACTCGGGCTGGGATGGGGGCATTTATGCAAGTCCTTGGGTGGGAGCCATCCAGTAAGGTCAGCTATGAAAAGGATAGAAGTATTTTTCAACTGCTCTTCTTAAGCATGCAAATATTACCTGGGGGGAAAAATAAATCAAGGTGCCTCGCTTTGATGTGGTATCCACCAAGCACAGAGTGGGGCTGCACACAGCATGGTGGCTAAGGGGTGTCTGGGTCATTTCCAGCAGGCATCCAGAAAGGAAAGGGAAGGGAAGGCCAGGTCAGACTGCCCTAACTCAGGCTGAGCAAGCAGAACCACAAGAAAACCTTCCAGCAGTGGAGAGACAGCAGAAAGCCCTGACCCAGCTGCCCACCAAGACCCCATATTGTGGGGTATCTTCATGTCTCTATTGCTTTTATATTAATTCCTCCCTATGTCCCTAAAACACATTCCTGAATAAACGTGGTATATTCAGAAGATCAGAGTATTGATGGAAGACAATTTTTTGCACTGTGTATGTTGCTTATGTGGTATATAGTCTCTATTCTGTGTTGATGTTTATACATTTATATGAAACTATACATTTATATGTCTTGCATCTCTACTGAATTAACTTGCTATTTAATGTGGACAAGTCTGAAAAAATAAACTAAACAATGATTGTATATTTTGCTCTTTTCCACAAGGAACTGAAAAAGCTCCAAGGATTCAAGCAAACAACAGCCAAATAAACTTAATGAACAATACAAACCAGTGAAGTCTGACATCAATTTGTTAGTGTTGTGTTAACTTGCTCATCAATGAGCCCTTTTCAGCATCTGCACCCAACACTGCATCCAGTGCTTATCCCCAGACTTCATCTCAGTTTGATGAAAGTTTAAAGGCACAAAAATTGTGAAATCAGGCCTTGTGCACTGAAACTTTCCATACTGTTTGATTTCTAACTGGCCACGGATACCCACTCGCCTGGCAGGTTAACACCCACAAAGCCAAGGAAACACGTCCTTGGATTTAATTTAAAAACTCAGCGTTGAACTTACAGGTAATCCTCACACTAGCGAGCTTTTTTCATTATTTTTAAACATTTTTTGTGTGCTTTAGCAGCAACCAAAGACCACAGACTAAACAGATAAGAAAAAGAGAGGATGCTTCACATGTGCAGGTCACACACACCATGGTCCCTGAGAGCCAGGACTAAAACTGAATGCAGCAAAGCAAATGAAAAGGACTTTTCTGTCTCATTACTGATATTGGCACAGATGCCAACATCCCACTCAGAACATGGCAGAGATGGTGCTTGGATGCATTTCTCTGACACCAGGCATTTACTGGAGTTGCCACACTGGGAGGTACATTTTGTTCCAGCCCTCCACACCCTGTGGCACTGGTGTGGCCAGTCAGCTCATCACTGGGGGTGGGGGCTCATTCACTAAACTTGTTCTTCAGGTCAGATTTCCAAAACATCTTCCCACCTTTTTGCTGCTTATAACAACAGCTCCCTTGCTATCCTACCACAGCAGGTTGTGTACTTCATTTCCTGGCATAAACCACCCAAAGGGACACATCTTCTCTGGGGACTGAGGCCTTTGGTGTGACATGAGACCAGTGGACTTGGGCAGCACTTCGTAAAATGCTTTATCAACCTTTTCCAGCCCCAAGCAGTGAGGTTTTCATGGGCTATGCCCCAAAACTTACACACCTCCTTCCACACGTGGATGCCAAAAGCAGTTGTTCATACCGTGACAGTTCCTCTTCTATGGAACAGAGTAAGAAACAATCATTTCTGCTCTTAAAAGATACCTGCCTTTTAGCTATGCTTCATCGCCTGGATTTCTCTTACTGCCAGAGCTTTTAATACCAGCTTTGCTCTTTATCCAGGTCATGCTGAGATCTCTTTTCCCCTGCATTCACTCCTGAAGTGCTCCTAGATAGTTTGCTGCAGTAGAATTTCCTGCCAAGGAACACTTATATTTTGCTGCCTGATATATTCCTCATTACTGCCTCAAAAATGGCAAATTCTGGTTTTCTTCCTCAAGCTAGTGGTACCCTCTGACTGACCCTGGCTGAACATCCCTGCTCAGGAACTCGCCTTTGCCTATCCTAGGTATTTCTCTATATTTAGATCATTTCCAAAGATTATCTATATCTGCCACAGACCAAATGGTTTTGTATTGATGAAAGCATCATGTGAGACCATATGAATTGGTCATGATACCGGTGAGATCCAGCCTTATGGAAATAGGAAAAAAGGCAAAATTATCAACAACATAATAATGAGGGTGTGTTCCAACACACCATGACCAGGTGCTCTTGCAGATTTTGTCAGTTCTCATCACACTCCTGAGTTGTCTGGGCACCCAAGGGCACGTGGACCTGAGGTGTATGACACACCGCCAGATGTGCAGCTCCAGTGGCACTCCAGCTCAGACCTCACTAACACAGACTGGTAATAACCTACCCAGGCAGCACTTGAGCCTGCCCAGATATAAGCCTGCATGAATATCAGGTTGCAAAGAGATTCAGGGACAGGCTTTTTCCAACCTGTCATCCCTCACCCTCCCTTCAGGAGAGGCAGATCCACTCCCTGAATCACAAACAGCACTCAAAAAGCACAAGGCCAAGCGCTTCTGACTCCAGCAGAAGAAAACATAAGAGCAAATAGTGAAATTCCATGGAGCACTTCAGAAGGATGTAGTGCTTCCTAAGCACTCACGGCTCCGGGTCACCGTGGGATGCAACACTGTGCTGTACAGACCCGAATACAGCACATCCATAGGACACCCCGGGAGTGTGACAGAGCCACACAGCACCTTTGACCTACCAGGCTGATCCCTACCACACTATCCACTGCCCGTGAGAACATTCACAGCATTGCAGTCAGCTGCTCTGACTGATTGCTGCTCCTCATGGCTGCTGGGCTTGGTTCAACAAGCTCAGCTCCAGGCTTAAAACTATAGCTACCCAAAACTACACCCGATTTCCCAACCTTTGTTTAACTTCTCATATTAAAGTAAGTCTTTAGTATAGTGAACTCCATGTGTCCTCTCCCTGACAAAGCCGTTTCTAGCGTGGGTCTCAAGCAGCAGCACAGACGTATCAATGAACTATGGGCAGGGGGGACTCCTCTCCCGTCTGTAGCCGGGGTGAGCCCCCGGGGGGGGCGGGGCGTGTGAGTTCCAGCTGCTGTCACTAGAGACACGGACAGCCTGCAGCAGGGACAGATTCAGGATGGCCGGGGGTGAAGGCAGCACACACCCCATGGCAATCTCCCGTTGCTCTCCGGCACGACCCAGCCTGTGAGGCACATCGGCGGTGTCCAGACTTGCACCCCAAACTGCGGGAAGGGCTGAAGGCAGTGCCAATGACTGTGCTGGGAAAACCCTGAGCGAGTCAAACACACAGGCAAGAAGCAGTGCGAGCCCGAGGGGTGCTCTCCTCCCCCCGGAGCAGGCTGCAAAAACAATACATCAAATTTTAAAACACCAGAAGAAGGGCAGGGTGTCAATTGGGTGACGGAGCTGGAAGCGCAGCCTCCAACGCGCAAATCGGCTGAAGCGAGATCAGAAACATTCATTTTTTTTTTAGGCGCAGAGCCCTTTCAGCGCTGGGATCGGTGGGATTTTCCTGCCTGCAGAGGTCAGCACACGCAGGAACACCCGCGCCCAGCGGCGCTGGCCCCGGGTACAAGGGGCACAGGGACACAGGGACACAGCGACGCCGGGAGCCGCTGCCCAGCCAGGGAGGCAGCAGCCGGGGCGGCTCCCGAGGGACGCGTGGGACAAGGTACGTGGGGGTTCGCGTTCGCACGAAGCGAAAGGAGTCGCGGATTTTCCTTACGCAGCCTCGCGGAAGAGGAAGCGTCCCTGACTCCGAGCGCTGCTTCCCGTGACGGCTCAAGGGCAGCGCTGGGCGACTCCAACCCTGCGTACCCAGCACCCTGCCCGGGGGCTTTCTTCCCTCCCGAGACAATAAGGCACTTTGAATTAAAGGCCTGAATATCAGAAAAGCAGGAATTAATAACACATTTGCAGGAGTTTCCAGAGTTTACGTTTCTTAAAGTAATGTAATGTTTGGGAAGGCAGCAGCCTCTTCAAGGGAAAAATCTGGTTTATTTTCCACACGCCACAACTTTTTTTACTAGCATCCTGCGATAAATCCTGCTGAACATGGGGATTACAAGTTTGGGAGTTAACGTAAATAAAGCTGAGCCCCATGGTAGGACAGAGGGAGCACAGGAAGTGCCTGTGAGCCCCAAGCCAGAAACTCCCTTAAATATTAACAGATAGTTGTGGGATATTGCCGCACTAACTGATAAAATATTGCGGACAGACTGGGGAAAGTAAAATATTTTCTGTTTAAAAATATATCATAAAACCTGAAGTTTGAGTTCTTAAAAGTACCATAAATCTCCATTGTCCACATCATTGCAACGAGGACAGGACGGTGCCTAAATATTCATGTGACCCCCGTGCAGGTACAACATCTTGGCCAGCCTACCGAAACCACTCCTCGCTGTGCCAACACCTTCATCAGGCATCCACTGACAGGCTCCAGGATGGCTCTGCTGGAGACCAGCAAGTACTCGCAGGGCTCGGTGCTCGGCAGCGTGAATCCCGACCTGGCCAGCGAGAGGCAAACTGCCTCCTTCTGCGTGGAAAAGCTCACGGCCCTGCTGGATGGTGGCACAGAGCAGACTCGGATACGGAGAGCGGTGGGTGAGTGAGCCCTACAAGGCCCTGCTGGGGAGCTGGCACAGGCCGTGCCTGGGTGTCCCTGCTGTTCTGCTCCTCCTTTGCAGCATGGTGGGGTTTGTGCTTCTGGGCATTTGCTTATCACCCGTCTCTTAAAAAAGTAGAAGTGTGGAGCTGGAGTCTTCACTTAGTGTAAATCAACACGACTCCTCCGCAGCCACTCCTGCTGTCTGAAGCTTTTCCTCCTCCCTGCACCAATCCCCAGTGTCTCTGGCAGGACTGGTTAAACTGGAATACAAGAACTGAAGGTTGAGTGTCCCTGTGTGAGTGGGATGTGTGCAGGGGCTTAGTGCTGCTGTGCAGCAATGCACACCATGTGTGAGCCACTGCCAGCGACCCTCCTCGGCACATCAGGCTCATCCAGGTGGGGAATGTCTTGAGTGGGTGGCTCAGCCAGGCTGAGCTGCTCTCACTTGTCGTGAGCGTGCCAAAAACTGACTGCATGCTCAGAAGGAACAGAGGAACCCTCTCTTTTGTCTCTGTAACTACATCCGTATTATACACTTATCAAACAAGAACGGCACAGGCTGCTGGGATCACACACTTCATGGTGCCACTGGAATTCAGTGTAACCTTACATGTGAATAGATAAAGCAAAATGGAGCAGGGGCAGTTTCCAGGCAGACACAGAAATAGTAACTCTGAGTTGCTTTGCAACACTGCCATGGGCTGGTAACATCCCAAACCAGAGCACTGGTGCTGAGCAAGACAACCAGCAGGCTCCAGCCATTAGCCACCCTCTGGGCAAAATCCAGCTAACCACAGCCCTTGCTGGAACAAGGATGGGAGCAGCAACTGGAGGCAGAGGGATCCATAGCATCTTGAGATTAGCTCAGTTGGTAAGAGCATGGTGCTAATAATGCCAAGGTTGTGGATTCAATCCCAATTTGGGCCATTCACTTAAGAATTGGACTTGATGATCCTTGTGAGTCCCTTCCAACTTAAAATATTCTGTGATTTTGCCACAAAGTCATCTCTTACTCTCTGAACAGGGATGGT